TGACCGGTTTAGTCCTCAACGTACGACTGGTTTAGTCCTCGACTTACGACTGGTTTAGTCCTCGACTTACGACCAGTTGGGGGTCGCGGCATTAAAAAGGTTGAGAACCACTGCTCAATAGCATTCTAACATTGGCATGTTCCCTACTATTGATTGACACCCAAGCTTTGTTTCGTTCAGTAGAATTTGGCAATCATTTCTTGATTAAAACATTCAGGAAAAAAATCCCTTATTTGAATTATTAAGTTTTTTTAAATATATATTTTACTGGGGTTCTGTTTTACTCACTTTCAGTTACATGGTATTCTCGTTATGCTCTTATGAAACACATACCGACAGATAAATGATTATGTGAATTTCAAGGATGTTGGTTTAAGTTCAAATAAAAGGTACTTAATTTTTTTTTTAAAGAAAAAAATCACAGCTACCATCTGCTGTCAGACTTGTAGGCGATAGATCAAGATTTTCTTATTCAGAAAGGTACGTTTTCAGAATTACAAAAATGGCCCTCTTTCAAATTGGATTATTTAAAAATGCACTATGCATTGTACAGGTTTTTTTTTTAATACTATCCTTTGGTTTTATTTTTTTAAAATCTGCTTAGAAGTAATTTGGTATGGATGGTGAAAGAAAACAGTGTGTGCTATGATTAAAAAAAAATAAAGAGAAATGAAAAATACAAGAACCACCAAGGAATGCTATCATACTTACAAGGTATCTCTCGATATCCACATTCTAAGGCATGGAAATAGTTCATAAACTCTGGTATAGGGATTTTAAAAGTTTCAAAGAGACCCATGTCCTCAAAGAGCTTGTAGGATACCTGGAAAATAAAATAAAGGGAAAGGAACCATAATTCTTCGAACTGGGGTTGACTATCTTTGACATGTGGAACTACCGTAGATCTTCAGACTATTTTCAAGCTTAAATCAGCTGTAGGAGATGACTAGGCTGAACAGAGGGAGGGGTCAAGAGCATCATCAGTCTGGAGTCCCTTCGTGCCCGCAAGAGATCAAAGTCCATCCCTTGACTCCTATCTACCATCAATTTTCTTTGACCGTTAGTACTTCAGATCTTGTAGAGAGGGTTAGCATGCAATAAACCTGTAGTTTTTTGAATCGCTTTGCTTCCTGATTTCGTGCGCCCGACACCAGTCTTGCTCCATTTAGGAACAGTATTTGCCCTGCCTTCTATCTATAAAAGTTCTGGTAAAAACTCTGTACAATTTAGGGAAGAACAATTGATGGTTGGCATTATATACAAGTAATCCTTGACTTACCATCCTTTGTTTAGTGACGTCCGAAGTCACTCTGCCGCTGAAAAAAGATGGGTCCTCACCCTTACAACCATCACAGTATCCTCATGATCACATGTTCAAAATTTGGGTGCTTGGCAACCAGCAGGGTTGAAGAATCCCAGAATCATGCAATTCTCCCATTTGTGACCTTCCTAGCTGGCTTCCAACAAGCAAAATCAACGGAGGAAGCTGGATTCGCTTAATGACTGCATAATTCACTTAACAACTGCAGTGATTTTCTTAACTACCACGGATTAAAAAAAAGCTCATAAAATTGGACATGACTCACTTAACAATTGCCTTGCTTAGCAACAGAAATTCTGGGCCCAACTGTGGTTGTAAGTTGAGGACTTCCCGTACAGAACATAGGTAACTCCACCCACTTTGGGTTCTAGGCCCGCCCCTTCCTGCAATATTTGAGGTAGAAACGGTTTAACAGCTCTAGCACCCTCGCTAGAGCTAGCCAGAGCACATTGCACTAAGCCTTTATGCCTGGAGTTCCAATGAAGGAGAATATTTGTAACTCAGGGTTGACGTGAGGGGTCCTTGGTACTCTCTGAGCTTGCTTGTTTTCTTGCAGACGTTTCATTACCCTAACTAGGTAACATTATCAGTGCTAATAGTGCCTGGGGTTTGTTTGGGGGGTGTTAAAACGGTAAGGCACTAAAGTAATTATGTGATTTGTAAAGTGGGCTTGATAACAGGATGGACAGATCTTAATTAACTTGCCTCTTTTGAGATGTCCAGAATGTTATCCCTAGGTTTTATTTCTTACCTTATTTTTATTTATTTATATCTCACTTTTGATTATTTTTACAAATAACTCAAGGCAGCAGCGAACGTAGCCAACACCCCTTCTTCCTCTTATTTTTCCTACACAATAATCTGAGACAGACACACAGAGAGAGAGAGACAGACAGAGAGAGACACAGAGAGAGAGACAGACAGACAGAGAGAGAGAGACAGAGAGAGAGAGAGAGAGACACAGAGAGACAGAGACAGAGAGAGACAGAGAGAGAAAGTGACTGGCCCAAAGTCACCCAGCTGGCTTTCATAGCCAAGGCAGGACTTGAACTCACAGTCTCTTGCTTCCTAGCTTGGTGCCTTAACCATTAGACCAAACTGCCTCCCACTCTCACATGAAGATCTTGCACCTGAGATCTCATCTGGAATACAAATATCTTACCAGGTGTGACGATCATGCAATTTCTGAACTATTGTATGGTTGGTTTTTTTTTTTTTTTAAATATATTGTTGGTGTGCTGCAGCTGATGCCTAAGATCTGATTTCTTGATTAAGGTTGTTGGCTTCCTCCGGGTGAAACAAATTTCCTGGGGAACTGAGCTGAACAAGTTACCCTCCTGTCCTTACACCACTTCCAAGAATGTCATTCCAGCAGGATTTCCTAGAATCTGGAAACCCGCTGACCGAGGAGCTGCTATTTTCTCTTGCTTTAAGAGAAGGTGCAGTGAAATTTAACTTTATTTTTAAATGAAGTCTGGCTTTAATCTTTCCAGTGGCAGCCTTCCATTTTATCCCCTCCTTTCTCGGCAAAAGTTGTTATATCCCTCCGGGCCATTATTAGGCTAACAGTAAGTGAAAATTAAGGCATTATCTAAGCGCACAGCTTGCCATCAAGCTGAACTGAAGTGCGCTTGAAAAAAGAAAATTCTTTTTACACATTTGCCTGCGCTAGAGTTGAAGGTTTCCCGTGGTACCGCGTGGGCTATTTCCTTTTTTTCAAAAATGATTCTAAGCCACTATTTTAGAAAGGAGTCTGGTAGCACCTTTTCCGACTTAACGCATTTTAGTTGGAATTTTTTTTTAGCACCTTTGAATAAAATGTGTCGTTGGAAAAGGCGCGATCACATCCCTCATTTCTGCTACCATAAACTAACAAGTCTCTTCTTCTACAGTGTTAAACCTCTGTGGCTTTCTTTACAAAATATATTTTGTTTCTCAAAATCCTTCTACAAGGCCTGGATCTAATGCCTGTGTTTGAGTAATGCTTATTTGCTTCCCATGAATCGGCTAGCTTTTTTTTTCCCTTTAGCATATATAGCAATAGAAACTTTTCACCTGAGTTCCTAACCTATGGCTCAGCTAGGGTTTTAATCATGGCTTATCAGACGAGCCACTCTGGCTGGGTTAGTACAAATCAGAAAGCCATAATATTTGATTCCCACCTAAGGCTGGAACAGAAAGAAACACATCGCTGTGTTCAAATAGCTCTGGATTAGAATCGGTGAACTCCAGAAGGGTGCATTATAGAAAGCAGAACTCTGGGGTCAATCTTATAGAACAGGGGTGTCAAACTCAATTTCACTGAGGGCCGCATCAGCATTGCGGTTGCCCTCGGGGTGTGTGTGTGTGGCCAGGGTGGGTGCAGCCTACTGGGTGGGCGTGGATGGAGTGGATGTGGCCTACTGGGTGGGCATGGCCAACTCTACATCGTTCGCGTCAAGGGTGCCTGTGGGGGCCTGGGCAGGAGTAGGACAGATCTGAGGGTCTCTGGCAGAAGGGGGTGGGACCGGGGCAAGTGCCAAGGCATGGTCCATTTCTTCATTCCTCACAAAAGGTGACACCTCCCCAGCAGGCACCCAGGGGGCGGGGCCGACACAGCAGGGGCTGGTTCCTCGCTGTTTCCAGACGGCCTTGTGGAGCTAAGACTGAATGTGTTTCAGCATAGAGGCCACCACAAAATTGTACATTGGCTCCCGGCCGGCCTGGGCCAGGGCCTAGGCAGCGGGGGCCATTCCCTCACTGTTTCCAGGATGGCTTCGCGGGCCACATGAAACCACTTCGTGGACCACATCTGGCCCCGGGCCTTGTGTTTGACATGTCTGTTATAGAACATCCTTTTTCTTACCTGACTTAAAATCCGACCACATCTCTTCCCGATTGTGTCTACCAAATCAAAGATTGGGAAATTCCAATTGTTTAGTTGCTCCATTTGCGAGTCCAAGTTGTCCATTATTAGCGGCTCGGGGGCAAGGATAGGTTTTTCCTGTAACAGATAGCAACAAACACATCCCAAATGTTAAAAACAAAACAAAACACCCTGTACAAAATGTAAGATTTTTGGGCTTTCCAGTGTTCTAATTCCAAGGCTTCCATCTTGTGTTAAGAGATATCTAAGAAGTTATATGCAAGATTTAGGAAAGTTGTCACCACCCTCTTCCAATCAAATAAACACTTCCTAATCTGTGCCCCAAGCTATCAAGATATTATAATAGAAAACCAGATGGGAGAAGTTAAGATGAAATGAATTCCAACTAATGGGAAAAGCAACCTTTACCAAAAAAAAAACACAAAAAAGTGAACCAAAAGAACATTGATCCAGCTCTCAAAGTTTTTCAGGGTACCATTTCCTGAGCAAGCTAAACTCTGAAGATTTCTAGTTCTAAACTGGTTTTCCTGACACGTGAACTGCAAAAAGATGGCATAATCTCAGCTTTCAAATCAATATCTGAAAGCAACATCTGATTTGACAGAGGTAATACCAAGCTAAAATTACTTCTAATAGAATAACACAGCTGGAAGGGTCCTTGGATGTTTTTTAGTCCAACCCTTTGCTTAGGTAGGAAGTCCTATACCATTTTAGACAAATGGCTGTCCAGTCTCTTCTTAAAGGCCTCCAGTGTTGGAGCACCCACAGCTTCTGGAGCCAAGTCGTTCCACTGATTAATTGTTCCAATTCTCAGGAAATTTCTCCTTAGTTCTAGGTTGGATTCTCTCCTCGATTAGCTTCCATCCATTGCTTCTTGTCCTGCCTTCAGGCGCTTTGGAGAATAGCTTGACTCCCTCTTCTTTATGGCAGCCCCTTAGATATTGGAAGACTGCTATCAGGTCACCCATAGTACTTCTTTTCATTAAAATGGACATACCCAATTCCTGCAACCGTTATTCGTCATTCTAATAATGAACAAATTCTAATAACAAATAACTAAAATGAATTTGACGCTTTCTCAAATTTAACACAGAAATGCCCTTAATCAGCTCCAGTGGCAAAATGTAAATTTTAATTGGGATTTAGTTTCGATTTTTGTTTTTAAATGAGTTAAGACTATGGTGTCAAGTTAGACCATTTTCTAGTTTACGACCTGATATACTGCCATTTCTAGGGGAAAAAATGAGTCTCGGTAAGTTGCTTAAACACAGTAGGCAAGCACAGTACAGCCATAAGAATAAAATAGTTAAAGCATCTTGTTACAATTAGAGAGTTGATCTTGAAAGTTGCAATGATTCCCAGAGTTAATTCCTACATAAGAGACTCACACTTAGTATCCTCCAGATGTTTTGGATATAAACTCATATCCAACGGCAAATAGTGATTATGGGAATTGTAGTTCAAAGTTTCTATAGGGCACCTTTCCTATGAAATCTGACAAGACACTATGCTCTTCTCCTCCTCCTCATTTTGGAAGTCTGTTTATTTCAAACAATATCAAACACCTATGACCGTCCTCTTCTTGATTTCGTTGCTGCATCAAAGTGTAGTGTAAAAACCACTGTTAAATGAAGGTATTAAAAGACCCAAACTTAGTAGTCTTTTAGACCTGAAAAAAGATTTTAAAATCTAGAACAAGGGTCTTCAAACTTGGCCACTTTAAGACTTGTGGAGTCCAACTCCCAGAATTCCTCAGCCAGCCCTGGCTGGCTAAGGAATTCTGGGAGTTGAAGTCCACAAATCTTAAAGTGGCCAAGTTTGAAGACCCCTGATCTAGCACCTTCATTCTTTGGAAGATGAAGGAGAATATAACTGATTAGTTATTGTTGAAATCCACAAATGAAAAAAAAATGAAATATTTGCATCAAAATGCAACGTGGGCATTGGAGGTGCCCCCTTTTACTATGGGAAAAATATGAAGAAGCAAGTGGTGAGGAGTCCTCCCTTAAAGCATGTCATGATATGTTCTTTCAGCAGATGGTACCAAGGTCCAATTATCACATAGGTTACCATGTTGGGTAGGGATCGTTGGACAGTTAATGAACCTATACTCCTCAAAGTTAAACCCAAAGTTAATCCCGCAGAGGTTTTCAGCATATAGTTCTTTGATGTCGGTGTCTTGTCCCTTGAATTTTTTGAGCAGACACTAAGTTGATTCCACAAAAGAAGACAGTGGGTTAGGAAAGGGGGAAAGTTGGGGGAAAGAGAACCATTAAAAACCAAACTGCCAAAGGAACTTAGAACTAGCACCACCCAACAGATCCAGATAAAAAAGGAGAAGAGCTAGTAGGATTGGAGAGGACCTTGGTCAGGTAGCGCTAAACAGAAGATGTAGGGTGCTGTCGGAACACCCTCTACAGGGAATTTTTATGCTCATGAGTTGGGCAAAGCCAAGAGGTTTTGCATAGTTATAAAAAAAAAACAGCAGCTGGCAGAACCATCCTGGAAGAAGAGTGATTGCTGTCTGGCAAAGGCTGTTATTGTTGTTATTCTGAATTCAAACTGGGTTGGAAAGTGGAGGGTTCAGAGACAAAGTCTATGTTCTGAATTCCTAAATTCCCTTGGGAATGCTGCAGACCTTAAATCTGGCCTCCAGAAATCCTTCCAATTCTCCAAATAATCACCCCCAATGTGAAAATGAAAAATTATGAAATGCTGGAGAACAGAGGGAGTAACAACACATTTCAAATATCAAAAGGTTTATAATCAAAGCACCCTTCTTGGGAGTCAGAACAAGGTGGTGGGGGGTTTGAGCTTCCTATGAATTGTTCTAACCCTTCTCAAATTCTTCTCATGGTCTTCTCACTGAAGCGTTCCAAGCTCCAGACTCTTTTAGACTGGCCAAAACAATATTGGAAAATTTGGGGTAAGGTGGGAACAGCTTCTTTGAACTCAAAATTGAATTTTTGACATGCATACATTCAAAATGTTTTGGGCACCATGATGAATGAGTATTCCAACACATATGTAATGTATAACATAGCTAGCTATAGTGTAAGAAGACTATCTTCAGGCTCCAGAAGATAATGGGAGGTTCAAATAATGAACGTCATTCAGCCTCTCTATAACAAAGAATTCATTTTAGATCTATTTCAAGGGATCTCTATGGAGATTCTCAACCATCCACGTCATGGTTGTTCCAAAGGTGCTTTTTCAAGGGGCAACTGGACTTTCTTTGTTTTTCCTTGAAGATGTTTCATTTCTCATCTAAGAAGCTTCTTCAGTTCTTCTGTTTCAAGGGATCATCAAGAATTGACCACAAAGATAAACTCATTGTTAGAGCTCTGCACCCTTAACATCACAATGTCAATTGTCATCTTTATAGAGTTGGTAGAATGATAAGAGAATTGACCCAGTTTGCCATCATTGGTAGTGATGCATAATTAGCCATAATTAGTTCTTGTGGTTGAAAAAAGAAAAAAAAATGAAAATCCACATCTTCTATACTGAATCCTGTATATGGCTGATAGTCCATGTTCCCTATCAGTTGCTGCCATGTACAAAATTGATTCAAACCCAGTTGCTGGCTGTTAAAAGTTGGTTATTGCAAAACCCTGGAAAATTAAAATTCATTTCCCCACCCGAGCAACGGCCTTTGAAAATGTCACTCTGTCATCCGTCATAGCTGTGGCTGAAAAAACTGACATATAAATGAGCTTTGAAAAACTTTATAACCGAGGGCATTATCCTCCAATCTGGTCCCTATTAATTAGTTGCATTAAAAATATTTTTCCTAATAGATTATCTGTGTCTAAACAAGTGTCATCCTGGGCAGAAATATTGAGTACAGATGTTTATTAGGTTTGTTCTTGCCTTGAATTAAAAGGAATTTTTATTCTTCCCTCTTTCCTTCAGTTGTTTCTGTTTTTGACATTGGCTCATTTATCCTGAGTGGAAAATATATGGGGAATGTTGGGATTTTGGAGTTCACTAAGCTTAGGCTTGCATATATTTCATTATCAATGTAGGTGGCTCATGGCAGTGGGGTCATCTGGCTTTTTGTGTGGGATAGCTTGACCTACCAGTTCCTATAGTTATCGTGTGTATGTGCCCGTTTCTGATGGGTCTGCTGGCTTAGTTGGCTGCATTGTTTCATCTTAGATTGTTGTGTTGGAATTGTGTTGGAGTTGAAGTCCACAAGTTGAAGTCCACAAGTTGCCAAGTTTGAAGACCCCTGATCTAGCACCTTCTTTCTTTGGAAGATGAAGGAGAATATAACTGACTAGTTATTGTTGAAATCCGCAAATGAAAAAAGAAATGAAATACTTGCATCAAAATGCAACATGGGCGTTGGAGGTGCCCCCCTTTACTATGGGAAAAACATGAAGAATGAAATATCTCCCTTACATACGTGTCGACTGATGGATGTGGGATAAGAGAGATGTGCCTCGGGCTATTTGCTTCCCTCTTCGGCTGTTGTTTACATAAAGTAATTTGTACACAGGGTTCATAGCAAAGGCAGTTTGCTAATCAAACATTTGCAAGGAGAAAACCAAGCTCAGTGAACACTTAAGTTCCTAACCTTATTTAGCTTTTGGACTCTGCAATTCAAAAGAGAAATAATCGATATATTACTTTCAAAATGGCCACCTTGGATTCTTGCACCATTCCTGGGAGTTCATTAGCGATGAGTTAAATGCGGATATTTAGGAGCTTAATTTAAGCCACCTGGGGATTCTTGAGCAATTGTTCACAACTGTTTCAAATTACTTCCATCTACCATCTTTCAAACCATTTTTTCTCTGTTTTGACGGTTGGTTTTTTATGGCTGTGGCTTAGAATATTTCTTTTTGTCTTTATTTCTAACTCTTCCAGACCACAACATCCCATAATATCCTGGCAGTTTGCAGTATAAAAAAATAATAAAACACAGTAAGAATAAATAAAGAATTTGAAACAAGTTAAACGTTAATCCCCATAGGTGTCCAGTCCCAATGGCTATTTATATATCTTTGCAAGGGTACCCATCTTAACAGCTAACTGGAATAGAAAACCCACCTTTATCTTATTTTTATCCTATACTTTGGTTCAGCTCAAAAAACTAAGAAGTCTGTCTGAGAGGGTAGGCTGCCTGCAAAATGGCCAGCATCTGGGCTGTCCCTTTAAGGCAGGGGTGGGCAACTATGGCCTTTTACGACCTGTAGACTTCAGTTCCCAGAATTCCCGAGCCAGCATGGCCTACAGATTGTAAAGGGACCATAGTTACCCACCGTTCCAGATCTCTCCCTAGCCAGCACAGCAACTGGTAGCTACAAAAGCTGAACAGAGAGGCAACTAGGAGTAGAAGGGTTGGAGTGGTGTTGGTGTGGGAGTGAGAGTAAGATGGAAGGTGGTTTGTGTTCATTTATTGAAATAAAGCCTGAAGCATCTCAAGGCTACTAGAAAGAGGTACTGTTCTCAAGCAGTAGAACTCATAAGGAGACGTAGTGGAGGAACAGGAGCGGTAGAACTGGGGAAGAATGGAGTAGTCAGCAATAGTAGTAGTACTAGTCTCTTTGAATGCTTGTGTGGATGTTGCCTAGAAACCTATGTGGTTGGGTTGGCTCTCTTGGGTTTTGGAGCCCACTGATCTGGGTATATAGAAAAGAATCTGTGACAGGTTCAGGCCTAATTAGCATGGGAAGCAGAAGAAACCATGAGAAAAAGAGGGCTAGAAAGGTAAGATTAGCACTAGCCATTTTGGCTGTTTGGCGAACATCCAAAATGTGTTTTGGTTTCTTTTTCCCCATCAGGCCTTGGCATCCCTTGGCAGCAGAGAGCTTGTACGTTGGATGCACCACGTATAACATCTGAACCCTCTTGCAATCTTGTTTTTCCTTATTTTAATTATTTGTTTTTATTTGTTTTCATGTTCAGTTTTATCACCGCAGATGGGGACTGCAGCCAAGAAAATTAAAAGACGCTTGCTCCTGGGGAGGAAAGCTATGGCAAATCTAGACAGCATACTAAAAAGCCAACAAAAGTGCGTATAGTCAAGACCATGGTTTTCCCAGTTGCAATGTATGGCTGTGAAAGATGGACCATAAGAAAGGCTGAGCGCCAAAGAATTGAGGCCTTGGAACTATGGTGCTGGAGAAGACTCCTGCGAGTCCCCTGGACTGCAGGGCGATCAAACCGGTCAGTCCCAGAGGAGATCAACCCTGACTGCTCTTTAGAAGGCCAGATCCTGAAGTTGAAACTCAAGTACTTTGGCCACCTAATGAGAACGAAGGACTCACTGGAGAAGAGCCTAATGCTGGGAAAGATTGAGGGCAATAGAAGAAGGGGACGACAGAGAATGAGGTGGCTGGATGGAGTCACTGAAGCAGTAGGCGTGAGCTTAAATGGACTCCAGAAGATGGTAGAGGACAGGAAGGCCTGGAGGAACGTTGTCCCTAGGGTCGCGATGGGTCGGACACGACTTCACAACTAACAACAACAACAATGTTCAGTTTTAATAGTTGGCTTTATTGTACATCAACAAGAGCCACCTTGTATGATGAGGTGGGTGGCCATTTAGATTAGATGGATTAGATTTGATTTGATTAGACGAGAGGAGATTAGATTAGACAGATAAAAATCCATCTGAAAAGAAGATACACACAAATTACTCTTCTACTACCATTGCTCAGAAAACTACGCAGAAGTATGGATGAAGCCACCAGGAGCCAAGCTTGACTTTACCATAGTTTTTCAAAGTTAACATGGGCCACGGGATGGGGCTTACAAAGAATAATGACCTTGTTCCCAAAACAAGGGGAATGAGGGTGCCGATTTTCAAGATTTCAGATTCCACATTTTCTCTTTTCTATTCTATGTCCTCCTACTCATCAGTCAATGCTCTGGAGCTATTGAGTATCTTTAATATTCATCTTAAATATTTAGACCTTCCCACTCCAGAAGATCCTCACCCCAAAACATAATCGGAAACTCTCTTTCCCCAAGCCTTAAGGTAACTGACTGGTCTTACAAGTGTAAGGAGAAGAACAGGCAGAGCCTGGGGTGGGGGGAGGAGGCGGAGTTAAGCATGTCATCAGCCTAGAGTCATTACATCCCCACAATTGGACTAAGTCCAACCTTTCTTGAATTTTGTTGTCTCTTATCTACACAATTTAGTACTGACCATTAATTGGCTAGATTTCTGTGTATAGGCATGAGCAATAAATCAGCTTAACTGGTAGTCCTGATCCTTCGTGCCTGACAACAAGTCTGGCTAAATCAGCAGAGAGCTTCAAGGAGCACAGTCAGTAGGATGTCATCACGTGAAGCTTGTTTATATCTTTTGATAAAGACTGTATAGCTCCGTATCATCTCCTATAAATGGTAAGGAGAACAAACCTGAACACTTGTTGATTTAGATTATTATTTAGATTATTTAGAAGTGGTTTATTCTACACCCAACTGGTGAGGGTTTAGTAATGTATTTTCCTTTTTTCTTTTTCTTTTAACCAGATGTCCACAAATGGAATTTTGAAATTGACCGTAAGCATGCGGCATACAAATAAGATAAACACAGAACATGTGTTGAAACCCCAGCTTTATAAACAAAACAAAACAAAACAAAAACAGTGGACTTAAATTTTTTCAAATGCTGATTTCAAGACTCTACAGCCTTTTCTGGCTAACAGATTTTCTTAAGATGGCAGAAGCTTTCCTAAGCTGCAGCAAACTGTCAGGTGCATGGAGTTGCTGGACCGATTTTGGATTTAAATTGGACTGAGGATGGGGGGAAGGATGGAGAAAACCGGGTTGGTTGTGCAGATGCAGGTTATACGTGAGACAAATTATGGGTATCATATCAATTGTAATTATGTTAAAAACCTATTGTGTTTGTTGAGGCGTCTGGAAAGTCTGCAGCTTTTCAGTAGTCCCTCACTCAACTGCGCTGTTCAAGTTAAAATCATAGGGCTGGAAGGGACTTTGGTGGTCTTCTAGTCCAACTTTCTCCTCAAGGCAGGCGCCTTATACCATCCCAGTCAAATGGTTGTCCAGTCTGTTTTTGAAAACCTCCAGCTTTGGAACACCCACAACCCCAGGAGGCAAGCTATTCCACTGATTAACTGTCCTCCCGGACAGAAAACTTCTCATTACTTCTAGACTGGATCTCTCTTTAACAAGCTTCCACCCATTATTTCTCTGGTACTTTGGACAATAAGCCGATCCCCTCTTCTTTGTGACAGCCCCTCAAGTACTGGAAGATAAGTTATCGTGTCCTCCCGTCCTTCTCTACGATTGGCTAGCCCAGGGGTAGGCAATCTTGGCTCTTTTATGACTCGTGGAATTCTGGGAGTTGAAGTCCACGAGTCATAAAAGAGCCAAGGTTGCCTACCCCCGGGCTAGACATATCTAGCTCCCTCAAGTGTTCGTCATATGATTTAGCCTCCAGACCAGTGGTGGGATTCAGCCAGTTCGCACCACTTCAGCAGAACCAGTGGCTAATTTTTTGTTGCCCAGGCCTAGAATGGACTTCCGGAAGCGGCATCCACACAGAGAACCGGTTGTTCACATATTTGAATCCCACCACTGCTCCAGACCCTTTATCACCTTGGTTGCTCTTCTCTGCCCACTTTCCAGGAATAACAGTTCCCTTCCTCCAAAACGGATACTTTTGAGATCTGTAATGGACTGTCCTGGCAGGTTGTGATATTGCTTTGTTCTTGTTTCGACTCTTGAAGACATACCAGACTCTTTTTCTTTTCTGGCTACCAAGGATGAAAAGAGTTCTCCTACGATGCCTACAGCTCCTTCTAAGCATCTCAGGTACATTAGTAAGGTCCTATTACATTCAACAATGAATGAGATACCTCCACAGGCAGCAAAGGATGCAAAATCACCGTCTCTGGAGCAAACGTCCTGCAGCGCGAGCCCGCCTGGATCTGGTCCTTGGCACAAGGTGTCTCATCTTCATTCTGCACAATGTCACTGCTGTCGCTGTTATTTGTCTCATAGTCAGAGGTGGCCTGTGCAGGATCATCTAAAATGAAAACCCAACTGCCTGTTACTGCTGTTAGGACCCAACTGAGGACAAAAACTCTTTTCTTGAACCAGCCAAAGCAGATCCTTCAGCAATTCCATTAACAAAAGACAAAGCCCACCCCATCCCAAGCTCGATCTTCAGGTACAGTAGATGCCTATTTACCTGTCCTGTTCAAGGTGTGTGCTGCACCATCATTCCTATCCAGCATTCCTTCTCTGGGGTCTGTTTGGCTGTATGGCCTGCCACAGCTGGAGAACAGATGGTAAGACAAAAATTGGGTCAAAGAGTGGAGAAGCAACACATAGATAGAAGGTGATCTATTAGGAGCAGTAACTGATGTAACTGCACATTCCTTTTCCTGATTCCTACATGCAAACAGATTGCTTGATTAATGCTCACTCAACGAGCAGAGTTGGGTCCATGCATATATTTCTTCCCTCAACTGGGGACAGGCTGGTCATTCTACACACCCATAAATCTGTTTTCATGTCCTCATTAGCCCACATTGTTTTTCCAAAAGAAGTATGCAGAAAACCACATCGGGGTTTTTTTTCACACACATAATTTCCCTAACATCTGGATTTTGTACCCATTTACGGTATCTCTGTTGGCAAACAGCACTGTCTAACATACACACTAGTGTGAGACTGTTCCCAATGTACGCATTTTTGAATGCTACTTTTAGACTAACGGTATTGCAAAATTGAGAATCTGCATGAACCAAAGGATAATTGTTCCAATCTGCCTCTTTAGAGTGAATTAAATCAGATTACTTCAAAACGTGGAGCAAATGGAAATTTTTTTTTTCTAATCCTGGTATGCGACGCACAATTGATATATAACAGAGGTGGAAAACATTTTTACAGTTAGGGGCCACGCTTAAAAAAAAAATCACTTGGCTTCCAGGGATTGTAGAGGATGTGGTGGTAATAAAAAAGCAGTTTCTATACACACTCACACCCACACACAAATACATGGAGCTGTTGATGGAGAGGCAAGGCTAAAAGGAAGAAAGAGTGAAAAGCAAAGATGAGAGACAAAATTGTGTTATGTATGTGTACCCTTTTGAATCACAAAGAATACTTCCATTACGAAACCCACCATCAGGAAAATGGTCAACCCCATTTCTTGTGGACTGAATGTGGGATGAGATGCATTTGATTATACTAGTAGACATATTAACTAGCTATAGGTAGTCCTCGATTTACGACGGTTGAGCCCAAAACTTCTGTTGCTTACATGAGACAGCTGTCAAATGAGCTTTGCTCCTTTTACGACCTTCCCTGCCACAGTCACTAACTGAATCACTGCAGTTGTAACACGGTTGCTAAACGAATCTGGCTTCCCCATTGATTTTTGCTTGGCAGAAAAATCACAGCAGATGATCACAAGACCCCTGGACGCTGCAACCGTCATAAATATGAACAACTGGCCAAGCATCCAAATTTTGATCACGTCATTCATGGGGCTGCTGCAACTGTTATCTGATAAATGGCCATAAGTCATTTTTTCCAGTGCTGTTGTGACTCTGAACTCTGTGTGCCTGTAATCCACATGTATGTGAAATGATATATTAAAAAAATCATTCAGGTGCTATTAGACTTGTTCTGTTTTGTTCTTTAAGCCTAAGTTTAACAATTTGTATTTTCTTTATGCCTTGCACTCACCATATTATCCATAGTGGGGGGTGGGGGTAGGTCTGACTTTGCAAAAAAAAAAAACCACACACCCAAAAAAAGATTAAAGGCCCTAGGCGTCCTATAATTTACATCGATCACTCTGATAAATTCATCAAATTCATACATTCAGTGGCCAAATGAAACCTTCAGGTTTTGCAGGAAAATAAACAGTGCCCAAGGTTTATCTTAGCCAGAATCACCAGAAATTGAGCAGTAATATCTTCAGCTGTTTTAACAGCACTATCAGGCAGATTAGAGTGGGAAAGTGTAATAATCTGGCCTCAAGGAGTTCCTGTTTTCTTACAAAAGCCATCCTCTGATGATCGGCAGGCACAGCCACACTCCTCTGTGCATTAATGATTCACCTGTGAAGATGGTTACCAGCATCAAATTCCTGGGTGTGCAGTTAACAAGTAGGCTGGCTTGGTCGCTCAACAGCGAGACACTGGTGAAGCGGGCACAGCAGCGCCTGCATTTTCTGCATCGCATGAAAAAAGCACATCTTCCTTCCCCTGTCCTGACCACTTTCTACAGGGGGACAATCGAGAGCATCCTGTCATATGGCATTACAGTCTGGCTTGGAAGCATCCCTGCTTCAGACAGGAAGGCAGTGCAGAGAGTGGTGAGGACAGCTGAAAAGATCATTGGCAGTTCCCTCCCTTCCATCTAGGACACGGCATATAAGTGTTGCTTGAGCAGGGTCTGTAAGATTGTCTGGGACGCTACCCACCCTCTCCACGACCTGTTTTCCTTGTTCCCTTCTGGGAGGAGGGGGCTCCGTGGTACCGGAAGCAGAACATCCAGATTCAGTCACATCTTTGTTCCATACAGTATTAACCTTGTGAACTCTCAAGCTTCCTCCTTCCGTTATGTATTCAAGATGGACAGTGATTAATATTTATATGTTACTTACATGTAAGGGTGTAGGTCTATACCAGCGATGGCGAAGCTTTTAGAGACCGAGTGCCCAAACTGCAACCCAAAACCCACTTATGCATTGTCGGGGGCCAGGTGGGCGTGGCTGCGGTGGTAACGGCAGCTGGGTGGGACTAAAAAGTTCAATCAATCAATTCCAACTTTGCGAGATCTTTTTTTCCCCGCGAGAAGTTGAAATTGACTGATTGATTGAACCTTTTTTTTTTTTTGCACATGGTGGCGGAGGCCTAAAGCGAAAAGGTTTTATAAAACCCAGCTGAAGGCCTAGGACTGGGGCAACGGCGCACGTGCCCACAGAGAGAGCTCTGAGTGCCACCTCTGGCACCCGTGCCATAGGTTCGCCACCACTGGTCTATACATACGTTGTTTATAGCATGTTTTAAATTTGTGCTATGTATGTGTACACTTTGAGAGGAAGCGACTAAATTTCATTTTTAATGGGTGCCAGTGTGCCCGCAGTAAAAAAATTATAATAAAGGTTATCTATCACTAAATGCTCCTTGAATGGGGAAAACAGAGTAAAACTGGCTAAAGGGGGAAGCAACGTAAAAGGGAAGAAACAGGGACTTTAAAAAAAGGGATAGCAAACTTTTGGGGGGCAAGAAGTCACAGTTTTTTTTGTTTTTTTTTGCTGGTTATAAATTGGCTTCTTAGAAACCGCAGGAGGTCACGGCAATATCACTGGAGTGGGATTTCAGATTTTTGGGGGTTTGGCGGGGGTTCAGCGGAGGCCGGAGATCGTTAAGTTCTTATTTTGCCAAGTGCGTTTTCAAAAATGAAAATATGGGCTGCCAAATGTGTGATCTGAGCCCACATGACAGCAACCTGATCTTAGAAGGCTCTGAAGGAATGGGGAGGGGGGAAGCAGGCCAGATCAGCTCTGCTTTTAGAAAACTTTTAAGAATTGCAAAGTGTGGCGCAAGAGAGAGAGACGCTCCGTGATTTTCAATTCTCCGATTAATAAAGCGGTCTGCAAAATCAATTCCAAGTGTCAGTATTTGTTGGCCCGCTCACGTCTGAATTGTCCCCTGGAAACCATCTTCTGTGAGTTCATAATTTAAATTCGTTGTACCTTAAGAGCTCAGCATATTATAAAATGTCACGGCCCTGACCTATTTTCCCATCAAGAGTTATACAAGGGGGAAAAAATGGAGCTGGGTGAATTTTGCCCTTATGCAACTTGCTTGGGAGAGAGACAGAAATAGTCCTCGATTTATGACTGTTTAATGACAGTTCGAAGTTAAGGCAGCCTCAGAAAAAGTGACTTGTACGTTATTAGCTTTGCATCACCCCTACAGACACATAAGCGCAATTCAGGTGCTTGGCATTTATGATTTTGTATGATTATTTAGCCAGCCCTCTCAATTCCTGGCAAATGGATGGGGAAGAAATGGAGGTAGTGACAGATTTTATCTTCCTGGGCTCCAAGATCACCACAGATGGGGACCGCAGCCAAGAAATTAAAAGACGCTTGCTCCTGGGGAGGAAAGCTATGGCAAATCTAGACAGCATACTAAAAAGCAGAGACATCACCCTGCCAAAAAAAGTGCGTATAGTCAAGGCCATGGTTTTCCCAGTTGCAATGTATGGCTGTGAAAGTTGGACCGTAAGAAAGGCTGAGCGACAAAGAATGGAGGCCTTTGAACTCTGGTGCTGGAGAAGACTCCTGCGAGTCCCCTGGACTGCAAGGCGATCAAACCGGTCAGTCCTAGAGGAGAACAACCCCGACTGCTCTTTAGAAGGCCAGATCCTAAAGTTGAAACTCAAGTACTTTGGCCACCTAATGAGAAGGAAGGACTCACTGGAGAAGAGCCTAATGCTGGGAAAGATCGAGGGCAATAGAAGAAGGGGACGACAGAGAAGGAGGTGGCTGGATGGAGTCCCTGAAGCAGGAGGCGTGAGCTTAAATGGACTCCAGAAGATGGTAGAGGACAGGAAGGCCTGGAGGAACATTGTCCATGGGGTTGCGATGGGTCGGACACGACTTCGCAACTAACAACAAGTATCTTGTGGTCATGTGATCACAATTCATGATCCTTCCTTGATGGCTTCCAAAAAGTAAACTGGGGAAGCCAAATTCGCTTCATGACTGCATGACCTGCTGAAATACCATAGTGATTCACTTAATGACTGCAGTAAAAACGGTCGTAAAATTGAGTCCAGTCATGTGATGACTCGCTTTATGACTTCATGGACTTTTCCGCTAGCAGAAGTTCTGGTCCCAATTGCAGTCGTAAGTCAGGGACTACTGGTACCCTTTTGACGCTCCCTCAGAAGCTGAGAAGGTGGAGTTGAAATCTGGATGTACTTAAACGAGAGCAAATAATTTGTTGCTTGGATTGGGCGTAACTTAGTTCCAAGAAATCAAAATGCGGAGTACAATTTGTTACAGGAGGCCAGGAATTTGATCCAGGAGGACAGCCCAAATGACTTACAGTCATATTGCAGTTTTCCAAATGATGGCACAGAACACAATCCAAAATTTGGGTGGAAATTGCTTATGACGATAGGAAACATGCTGGGTAACGTAGTTAGACTGTGCAGAGATTCTGAGCCCTTAGCTGGGAAATCCAGCTGGGTGACTTTGGGCCAATAACCAGGAGATGGTGAGTTCTAGTCCTGCCTTAGGCGTGAAAGCTAGCTAGGTGCCCAAAAAAGGCCAACACAGTGCTGGGCTGCATTAACAGAGGGATAGAATCAAGATCACGTGAAGTATTAATACCACTTTACAATGCCTTGGTAAGGCCACACTTGGAATACTGCATCCAGTTTTGGTCACCGCGATGTAAAAAAGATGCTGAGACTCTAGAAAGAGTACAGATAAGAGCAACAAAGATGATTAGGGGACTGGAGGCTAAAACATATAAGGAACGGCTGCTGGAATTGGGTATGTCTAGTTTAACGAAGAGAAGGATGAGTGGGGGACATGATAGCAGTGTTCCAATATCTCAGGGGCTGCCCCAAAGAAGAGGGAGTCAAGCTATTCTCCAAAGTGCCTGAAGGCAGGACAAGAAGCAACAGATGGAAACTAAGCAAGGAGAGAAGCAACCTAGAACTAAGGAGAAACTTCCTGACAGTTAGAACAATTAACCAGTGGAACAATCTGCCTCCAGAAGCAGTGAATACTCCAACACTGGAAGTTTTTAAGAAGAGACTGGACAGCCATTTGTCCGAAATGCTATGGGGTTTCCTGCCTGAGCAGGGGGTTGGACTAGATGACCTCCAAGGTCCCTTCCAACTTTATTATTATTATTATTATTATTATTATTATTATTATTATTATTATTATTATTATTATTATTATTATATAAGACGAGGAAGGCATGTTGGATATATATGTTGGATATGTTTGCCACCTTGAGTTATTTGTAAACATAATAAAGACAGGATATAAACAAATGAATGAATAAAAATTCCTTTTATCGTGTCAGATCAACCTATTCTTCCTCTAATCCAAGGACCACATGCTTCAGAAAGGAAATATTTCAAGTAAGTGATGACAGAATGACATTATTAAAACGCAAAAGCAATGTGGGGTTCATTTGTCCCCAGAGAGGGCAGGATAATAGGGTATTAGGCACGCTAACGGTGCTCGTGGTTTAAAACATTCAGTTCTTTTTCGCCACACGAAAGGATTAGTGGGAAATTATATTGCTGCCCCACTTGGTTTATTAATCAGGCGGATGTCCTTCCTTTTTCATCTCCTCCTGTCTGAACTTGAGAAGCGAGCCAGGATCCCTTGGCGTGACAATTAACTAGGATTCTTTTGGCGTGAAAATCATACTGTAAATCCTTCCTTCGCTCCCAAACTTAATTTTCACGGGGAACCAATGCAGCTAGGTCTGGAAGACCTCACACTGGAGTTCCTTACAGGGACTTTGAACCTGGATCTATTGAAACTGACAGCACTCCACAGCGGATCAAAGTTTTTCAAATACTTTCGTTTATTGGTTTGTCCGTTGACCTTATTTTCCCTGGATCTCAGCCTTCCACATACCGAACTCCGGAATAAAGGACACGACCTAAATCAATTTCATTGGGAAATGAGATGGCTATCTGGAAGGATCACCTGACTGAATCCATTCCACATATTTCATTTCCACAAAGTCGTTTGTGGGAAATGAAGTCAAGATGTGAGCTATCTCGAAGTACCGTGCCTCTGCCAAGAACAATTCCAAGTGTCTGAACTCAACTATCACTTGGTTTTTCTACAGCAAGCATCCTGCAGCGATTTACATGCCACACCCTTTATTTTCCCATTTCTGAGAAATAAGAAGAATTTAGAAATCATCGGGGGGGGGGGGCCACCAAAATGCCACCTGCTAAAAGAGCTCAGTTTACACTTTCTTCGTGCAACCTCTAAAAATTGGAATAGATGCTCAGGACCCTTTGGAAGTGGTAAAAAAAAATATATTGTATTTTTAGAACAGGGATGGGCAATTAATTTTCCCAAGGAGCACAGGAAAAACTGGCCCCATGGTTGTGGAGAGCCAATTAATAGGGCTGTGAAGCTGCATAGACATCCATGCATAAACACACGTAAATTGGGGGGGGGGGAGAAGTAATTACTTCAAAATAAAAGAAATCCACAGGAGCTGGACAGGGACAGCCAAAGAGCCGGAAATAAAATGCCCAAGTCTGTTTCAGAGTGACAAAAGGGAGACTTTGTGACTGGACAGCAGTTAACTTGTATTTACAAAATAAAATAAATGAAAAAAATAATAAAATAAAATGGAAAATACTGGTCTCTCAGGAGAGAAAAGTGACACACGGCTGCTGTAAATATAGCACTTGACTCACAGTAGATCAGGGGTCTTCAAACGTGGCCCTTTTATGACTTGTGGACTTCAACTCCCAGAATTCCTCAGCCAAGCACGCCTGGCTGAGGAATTCTGGGAGTTGAAGTCCACAAGTCATAAAAGGGCCACGTCTGAAGACCCCTGCAGTAGATCAATCACTGCTTCATCATTCTTTTTCACCACTCTCTACAGCTGTTGGCAGCTGCTGATGGATAAGAATTAAAGTTGAGCTCTTTTGCAAAGACTCACTTCCTGCTTCCTAAGGAGAGCAGGATCTCTCTTTTCTCCCCAGAATTAGTATTGGAAGACACAGTTCTCGTGCAGCTGTTAATAGCTAGTTCCTACTGCTACTTTTTATTTGCTAAGGACCGGTCTTAACTACCTATCAAACCAATTATTCTTGGGTCTCAGATATAGGTTAGTTCTATCATGTGCACCTTAAGCTGTTAAATCAAATTGAATGTAGAATCTTCTGCAGATGAACCCTGTGTTTGTCCACATCAGGGGTCTTCAAACTTGGCCCTTTTATGACTTGTGGACTTCAACTCCCAGAATTCCTCAGCCAGCGTGCCTGGTTGAGGAATTCTGGGAGTTGATGTCCACAAGTCAAGGGGTCTTCAAACTTGGCCTTTTATGACTTGTGGACTTCAACTCCCAGAATTCCTCAGTCAGCATGCCTGGTTGAGGAATTCTGGGAGTTGAGGTCCACAAGTCAAGGGGTCTTCAAACTTGGCCCTTTTATGACTTGTGGACTTCAACTCCCAGAATTCCTCAGCCAGCGTGCCTGGTTGAGGAATTCTGGGAGTTGATGTCCACAAGTCAAGGGGTCTTCAAACTTGGCCTTTTATGACTTGTGGACTTCAACTCCCAGAATTCCTCAGTCAGCATGCCTGGTTGAGGAATTCTGGGAGTTGAAGCCCACAAGTCATAAAAGGGCCATGTTTGAAGACCCCTGGTCCACATGGAGAGCCAGCTGGAAGTAGTGGTGAAGGAGCTGGTCTGGAAAGCAGGAGATTGAGTTCTAGGCCTCACTTAAGTGTGAAAGTCAGTTTTGGGCCAGCCACTTTTTTTCAGTCCAATCTATCATGTTATTGTAGGGAAAAGGAAGAGGAAGTTGGAATATTAGGTATGTTTGTCACCTTGAGTTATATATGAAAAATAAAAGAATAGAATAGAGCTGGAAGGGACCTTGGAGGTCTTCTAGTCCAGCCCCCAGCTCAAGCAGGAGGACCTATACCATCTGAGACAGGTGATTGTCCAGTCTCTTTTTAAAACTTCCAGCAATGGAGCGCCCACGATTTCTGGGGGGTAAGCTATTCCACTGGTTGATTGTCCTCACTGTCAGGAAGTTTCTCCTTAATTCCAGGTTGCTTCTCTCTTTGGTCAGCTTCCAACCATTGTTTCTTGTCCTGCCCTCTGGTGCTCTGGTGAAAAAGCTGAACCCCTCTTCTTTGTGGCAGCCCCTCAGATACTGAAACACTGCTATCATGTCTTCCCTATTTCTTCTTTTCTTTAGACTGGCCAAACCCAAGTCCCATAGCCATTCTTCGTATGTTTTGGTCTCCAGGCCTTGGATCATCTTAGTTGCTCTTCTCTGAATTTTTTTTCCAGACTGTCAACATCTTTTTCGTGATATGGGGACCAAAACTGGCTGCAGTATTCCAGGTGTGGCCTTACTAGGGTTTTATAAAGCGGTACTAATACTTTGCATGATCTTGAGTCTGTGACTCTGTTTATACAACCCAGGATTGTATTAGCCTTTTTGGTTGTTGCTGCAACCAAAATACAAGATGGTGATGGGTGATGATGATGATGATGATGACGATGACTACGATGTTCTTCCCCACTAGCCTCCCCCAATTTTCCACTGTAGAAGACACTGGATTTCAAATCCTGGAATTCCCCAGCTATTGGACATCTAGCTAGCTGAGAGACAGTTTGGAGTAGTGATTAAGGCACCAGGCTAGAAACTGGGAGAAGGTGAGTTTAGTCCCGCATTAGGCATGAAAACTGTCTGGGGGCGTTTGGGCCAGTCCACTAGGAGACTGTGAGTTCTAGTCCTGCCTTAGGTATAAAGCTCAACTGGGTGGCTTTGGGCCAGTCCACCAGGAGACTGTGAGTTCTAGTCCTGCCTTAGGTATGAAGACCGATTGGATGCTTTGGGCCAGTCCACCAGGAGACTGTGAGTTCTAGTCCACCCTTAAGCAGGAAATCCAGCTGGGCTAGTCCCACTCTCTCAGCCCAATCCACCTCACAGGGTTCCTGTTGTGCGGAAAACAGGAGGAGGAAGGTGTGTTGAATGCGTTCACCCCATTGAATTATTTGTAAAAACAATAAAGGCATGATACAATAAATAAAATAAACTCCAATATTTATGGAGAGGGGCCCAGGTTGGGGAAAACTTGACCGAGGCACCGATAGCAATGTGCTCTACTGAAGAAAGCTCAGAGATCAGGAAAGAAAGAGCAAAATTTAAGCACCCAGGAAAACATAAGAAGTTCCCACAAATAGCAAAGTATGATCTTACCTACTGCAAATGACAGAGGCGCCTTCCACCGGCTCTGATAGGTTAGGGGCACTCTGAGTGCAACCTAAGAGCTTGTGAGGCTTGATGGCTTGGATAGTGGCCGTGACTGTCGACTCTGGAAATTGTTCTCCTGAGGTTCTGCGGATGGGACTGTTGGCTGGGGTACCCTGGACGGGTGAATGGCTTGGAGAGACAAGAGGTGAAATATTTGGGGAGATACCTGTGGAACGGGAAAACATCGTTACTTTTCAAATGGTCCCCGTGTCAAGGTTCCGACTGACGGGCCCAACTGAGCAAGCACGATCCAATCTCTTAATGCAAAACTTTATTGAGTACACCATTTCGGCGCAGATGAAAGCAAAACCAGCTCTGGTTATTTGCCCCGCAAACTGCTATAATTAAAGTGCAGAATTCTCCTCCTCCTATTAGTGCAGGTCACATGGTCCAAACGAGTGTCAACATACTATTATGAGAAATATCTCTGTGGGCTTGCCAACACCTGCTGAAACGTCCTTGGTTCACCCGGCCTGACTCATTGTCTGGAGCCTGCATTCCATTTCCCCTTCTCCCCCCCCCCCCAGGGTGTTAGCAAGCTGAAAAGAAATAATGGTGGCAACAGCATATGCGCGCTTCGAGGTTTGACACAGTGTATACATTGCTTTGTGAAGCCAACCCTCCACAAATAGTCCTCAACCTACGACGACTAGAACCGGAATTTTTGTTGCTAAACAAAGTGGTTGTTAAATAAATTGCATACAATTTTACAACGTGTTTTTTTTTTGAAATGTTAGTTAAGTGAACCCCCCCACCCCCACCGCCCGGTTGACTCTGCTTGTAAGAAGCCGGCTGGGAAAGTCACAAATGATGATCACAGGACCCCAGGATGCTGCAACCATCTTTAAATCTATGCAGGTTGCCAAGCACCTGAATTCTGGACAGGTCACCACGCGGGTGCTGCAATGGTTGTTAAGTGGGAGGACTAGTTGTTTTTTCAATGCCATTGTAACTTCAGTGGCTGGTTCTCATGCTTATGACCACTGCAACATTCCCACAGTCTCACGATCAAAATCTGAGCGCTTGACAACAGCAATGTATTTGAGAGGGTTGCAATCTCCCGGGCTCATGTGATCACAGTTTGTGACCTTCCCAGTTGGCTTCCAACAAGCAAAGTCAATGGGGGAAGCCAGATTTGCTGAACGACTGCCTGAATCATTTGACAACTGCAGTGATCCACTTAACAGCCGTGGCAAAAAAAGGTCATAAAATCAAGTGTTATTCATTAGCAACCACCCTTGTTTAGCAACAGAAATTCTGGTCCCGATTCTGGTCCCGTTAAGTCGAGGGCTAGCTGTACTCCTTTCCTTAGGCACCAAAGCTGACAGGGTGATTTGAATTGGTCACTCTGTCGACCCTGAACTGGGAAGCTAATAAAAAGTAGTGCAGTAGGTTAAGGTACTTAAATGAAGTTCAATACAATGGATTGATTTGGCCCAATAACAAAAACAACGTATGGTATCTACTGCCTTAAAGTAGCCCTTCTAGGTTAGAACTTTGCTTCCACAAGATCCTTCACCTGTGCTAAAGGATCCCGTGTTAATAACAAAAATAGTAGTCCTATTGCAGGGGTCCCCAACCCCGTCCGTGGACTGGTAGCGGGCCGCGGCATGCCAGCAACCGGTCCGCACAAACAAGCAAAGCCCCATCCGCGGGATGCAAGTAGCACACAAAACCACGTATCCCACGGTCCGTGGAAAAATATTTCTTCACGGAACCGATCCCTGGTGCCCAAAAGGTTGGGGAACTCTGTCCTATTGCATATCACCCCTGGTTAACAAAATGCTGGACAAGAAATATTCATCCAGGCTGCAAATGTCATTTCATTCGAGAACCTCGTGGGCTCTAACTTGAAATCTGTAAGAGCTGGGCTGTCTCTTTACTGGATCAATAGCCTTGAATTCATAAAATCAGCATGCTCAGTAGATAACTAGAGAGCTTTAACTAGAGTTTGGGTTACTGCTTAAGGCAGGGCTTTTCAACCTTTTCACCCATTGTACCACTTTTAGGATATGGCAACATCCGAATACCACCAGTCGCCTAGCAAGATGTCAAAAACTTGATGACCCCCCCCCCAAAAAAGGAAAAAAGTGATGAAGTACTGGTAGTTTTCGACTTACAACAGTTCGCTTAGTGACTGTTCGAAGTTACAATGGCACTGAAAAAAGTGCCGAGCAAGACACCTGCCTGCCCACCCGGCGGCGCTCTTCCTCCTATCTGAGGTTTTCATTGTTGTGAGCATTTCTGTTGAGGATTGGCAGCAGGGGTGGGGTAGGGGGTGTTTGGTTTTTATTTCCCCCTGTCTGCTGGGTGGTTGCAGCAGGTTTTGGTCACTTTGCATGACCCTGGGACACTGTGACTGTCATAAATATGAATCAGTTGCCAAGCATCTGGATGTATATCACAAGACCCTGGAGATGCTGCAACATTCCAGCTAATCAGCGCTTCTTCTGGGCTCAGCAGAAGTGCCAGGATCAGCGCCGAGGTCCAGCTGGAGCCTGGCGCTGATCCTGGTGCTTCCACTGAGCCCTGACAGTCCTGAAGAAGCGTTGATCCTGGCTCTTGCGCTGAGCCCTGACAGCCCTGCAGCTCCAGCCATCTCTCGCTCAGGCTTGTGCGGTGCTGCCACCGGTTCAGCTCATTCCCCTCCCCTGCTACCACTTTTCTAGGATGGTCGTGTACCACCTGCCAGGTGCCAATGTACCACAGGTGGTACCTGTACCACTGGTTGAAAAGCCTTGGCTTAAGGCACCGGGCTAGAAAGTGAGAGACCATGAGTTCTAGTCCCGCCTTAGGCACAAAAGCCAGCTGGGTGACTTTGAACCAGTCGCGCTCTCCCAGCCCAACTCACCTCACAGGGTTGTTATTGTTGTTGTGGGGAAAATAGGAGGAGGAAAGTGTGTTGGAAATGTTCGCCGCCTTGAAGGCGGGTCTATACAATAAAAGAAATAACCACCTTGTCGGCTCGGCCGCTTTGAATTCAGATGATTGGCAGCAGTCATCGCGTAGGAGGTTGAGAAGGATCGACTTTTGGTGAGAGTCATCAGGAGAGAATTGTTCCATGAATCAGAGCTGTGGAAATGAAAGAGAAAAGCAGCACAATTCTCATTTGTAGGCTTCCTTACAAAGAACAGAGGTCAGACTGATGATCACAATCCCTAGGAACTTGTAACCTCATGTTTCTTGCAACAGCCAATCAGATGTTTACAGGCAGCTTACAAACTGCCATCATTTGAATCTAAGATAGGCAAATCTAAGAATGCTGAGAGAGAGAGAGAGAGACAGAGAGAGAGAGAGAGAGAGAGAGAGAGAGAGAGAGAGAGAGAGAGAGAGAGAGAGAGAGAGAGAGAGACACTGTGTTATTTCTCAACCTTGGCAACTTTAAGATGTATGGACTTCAATTCAATGGGATCTTCTTTCACATTATATGTGAATATCCTACATTTATCCTTGCAGCGCCTAAAGGTATCTATTTCAATCAGACCTGACATTTGTGAAAGGATGAATCAATTACAAACAAGGCAACAGGTTTTTAATTGGTGAAGTGTCTGAATGCGATTGAATTTGTTAATCAGAGAGGGGCCAATGGTTTTTACCCTTTCACAATTGTTCATGCTCATTTGCTTCCTAGGTTATCTGATTGTTTTTCAAGGGTGTAGGTCCTTGACTTACAACCACAATTGAGCCCAACATTTCCACTGCTAAGCAACGTAGTTGTTAAGTGAGTTTTACCCCCATTTTACGATCTTTCTTGCCACAGTTGCTAAGTGAATCACTGCAGTTGTTAAGTTAGTAACACAATTGTTAAGTGATTCTGGCATCCCCATTGACTTTGCTGGTTAGAAGGACGCAAAAGGTGATCACATGACCCAGGGATACTGAAACTGTCATAAATACATGCCAGTTGCCAAGCGTTTTAACTTTTGATCACGAGACCACGGGCATGCTGCAATAGCCGTTAAGGATCAAAGTCACTTTTTCCAGTGCCACTGCAACTTTGAACGGTTGTAAGATGAGGACTATCTGAACTGCTATCAGACTGTTTTGGCTGCCAATAATTTTCAAGTCTTGCTGGCCAAGTCCACAAACGCCAACGCGGCATTTTTGGAGAATTAGTGTCTTAATCTTTATGGTTGCATCATGTCAGTCGCCAAATTATGTTCTATTTTTCTAAAATAAGTCTGTGCATTCTATTTTCCACCAAGGCCCGTCCTCATCTGGAAAAAAAAACCCTACAATTATTTTCCTACCTGGATGGTGAAGTATCGTAAAGTTTGATGCTAGGACTGCGGTCCCTTCGAACGGAAGCTGGCTCCAAGGTGGGCAAACCAGTGGCAGATGTGGTGGTTGTCCAAGTGGATGACACTCGCCGTAGAAGACCTGGGGGCAGGCTTTTCCGAAAGCGCTGTGGGTAAAACAACAACATCTTGTGACTACTTTATTATGTCACAGAGGCACCTGAGGGTAGGACGAGAGCTAATGGGTGACAGCTTATGAAAGAGAGAAAAAAATTCTGACAGTGGGAATAAGTAATCAGTGGAATAGCTTGCCACCCAGAGTTGTGGATGCTCCATCACTGGAGGTTTAAAAAAAATAAACTAGGGATGGTATAAGTCTAAAGAAAAGAAGAAACAGGGGCAACATGATAGCAGTATTCCAATATTTGAGGGGCTGCCACAAAGAAGAGGGGGTCAAACTATTCTCCAAAGTGTCAGAGGCCAGAACAAGAAACAATGGATGGAAAGTAATCAAGGAGAGAAGCAACCTGGAATTAAGGAGAAACTTCCTAACAGTGAGGACAATTAACCAGTGGAACAGCTTTTCCTTCAGAAGTTGTGAGTGCTCCATCACTGGAGATTTTTAAGAAGAGACTTGACAGTCACTTGTCTGAAATGGTATAGGTTCTCCTGCTCGAGCAGGGGGCTGGACTAGAAGACCTCCAAGGTCCCTTCCAGCTTTATTCTATTCTAAGGTCTCCTGCCTTGATCAGAGAGTTGGACTAGAACAGGGGTAGTCAACCTTGGCTCTTTTATGACTCGTGGACTTCAATTCCCAGAATTCCTGAGCCAGGAATTCTGGGAGTTGAAGTCCACGAGTCATAAAAGAGCCAAGGTTGACTACCCCTGGACTAGAAGATCTCTGAGGTGTCTTACAGCCCCATGATTTTGTGTTCTATGTTGTTTTTATCCGTGATCTTCATTTGTTATTAGCAAGTACACTGGATAACTCGGTAGATGAAGAAAATGCCCCACTACTAATTTCAGACAACATTCTACAGTCTTTGTCTTGGACTTTAAGCCCAGTTCAAGGATATTGTGCATAGTCCTTTTATCCAAAACTGTCATCGTTTATTCTATTCCCATGGATGGGGAATGTAATGTTTCAGATACTCCTGTGTTTCTGATGCTCTCTTAAATATCAGATTCCTAACTTATTTGAATAAAATGATGGTGAAATGGATATCTTGCACAGTTCATGTTATTTCAATTGGGCCCCTGTCTGATGGCATCTCACCTTGCCCCATCGTTCAGTGTTTCTCAGTCTGGACAACATGAAGATGTTGGCTGGGTGGGGAATTCTAGGAGCTGAAGTCCACACATCTTCAAGTTTGCCAAGGTTGAGAAACACCGCCATAGTTTATTGAACTAGAGCTAAGAACCCAGGACTAAGAAGAAATTTCCTGACAGAATAATTAATCAGTGGAACGACTTGCCTCCAGAGGCTGTGGGTGCTCCCACACTGGAAGTTTTAAACAAGAGATTGGACCACCATTTGTTTGAAATGGTATAGGGTTCCCTGCTTGAGTCGTGGGTTGGACTAGAAGACCTCCAAGGTCCCTTCCAACTGTTATTCTGTTATTGGACTGAGATTGCCAATGAGTCTCCTTTTTTTTCACCATTTCTGCATCTACTTTGGTGTCAGTTTCCTTCCTTTGCAGTTCTTCCATAGTGTCTAAGCACAGAAACTATTGCTAATTAAGCCTAATGAATATAAAACCAGGATTTAAATGCAGAAAACATAGTTATCTGCTTGAATTTCGTTTTATACAGTTCAACGAACAGCAATCTACTTTTGAAATTCTAGAAGAAGAAGAAGAAGAAGAAGAAGAAGAAGAAGAAGAAGAAGAAGAAGAAGAAGAAGAAGAAGAAGAAGAAGAAGAAGAAGAAGAAATAGTAGTAGTAGTAGTAGTAGTAGTAGTAGTAGTAGTAGTAGTAGTAATAGTTTGGAGAGGGAAAACATATTTTAAGTCCAGAATAACCACATAACATTTGGAAATGGCTCAGATAAACACATTTGTGATTCATTGGAGTATAAAGAGGCAGAGAAGGGACCAGCAGAATCTGACTTACAAGATTCTGTTATTAGAGCTAATTACAGTAGTACCTTGATACTCAACTGCTTTGAAACTCATAAAAATTTTGAATTTTGCATTTTGGTGTGAAAATTTTGTCCTAGTACTCCTTGTTTGTTTGGTACTTAACACACGTTAAAACTTGTCGGTGTCGGCTGCCTTGTGACTCACTACACTACATTCATTACTCATTATGGGAAAAAATTGCTTGTTACTCATAGTTTTTGGTACTCGTTGTGTCTCCCGGAACCAATTAACGATGAGTACCGAGGTACCACTGTACCATAAAAGTAGCTTTAGCTTCTTAGCCTGTGGAGTTGATTCCTTGATTTGGTTTACTACTGGGTGCACAAAAGAAGTCATGTTGGCAAGCTTAATAGACGCAACCTACCTTGGGAATAGTAAGCTTCTCTCCCTTCTCTGAACATTCTTCTGTGTCAGAACCGGTGTAATTTTCATTGAAGGATGCCAAAGTGTTGACTCTTGGTCTATGAATAGCTGGGAAAGTCAACTGTGTACTAAGCAGGTTGCTCACTGCTCGGAGGGAGGCGCAGACATTGGGTGGCAAAGAGGGATCTGCCAGAAGGTCAGTAATGAGTCCGTGAGCTTCTCCCATGACGGCAATATCTACCGTTATACTGGTACCCGAAGACTGGAAAGAGAGGAAAAAGAAACATTAGCCCTAAATCAGAAAGTAAATAATGCATAACTATGCCAATGTGATTTGTGCAGTGGGAAGGGAGGGGAGGAGGGTTGCCATGATGCCCACTGGCATTGCATTGCTGACCTAGGGCAGCGTAGAAGGGGAAAAAAAGCCACATAATTCTTGTTCTACGCTTTCTATGGTGCCATTAATGGGCACTAACGACAGCCAGAGGATGCTGTTTGCACATAAAATGAAAAATAAAACCTAACATAAATGAAGCAGTTCATACTGCTTCTAGTTTGACTTCCCGTATAAGTCAGCTTTATATGTTCATGACGTAAAACATCCCTCTTAGAAAAATGTATACAGGTAGTCCTCAACTTATGACCACAATCAAGCCCCTGTTGCTAAGTGGGGCAGTTTTTAAAGTGAGTTTTGCCGCATTTCATCATCTTTCTTGCCCCAGTTGTACGTGAAATCACTGCAGTTGTTAAGTTAGTAACCTGATTGTTAAGTGAACCTGGCTTCCCCACTGACTTCATTTTGTCATAAGGTCGCAAAAGGAGATCACAAGTCCCTGGGACACTGCAACCATCATAAAGATGAGTCAGTTGCCACACATCCAAATTTTGATCATGTGACCATGGGGATGTTGGAATGGTCATGTGAAAATCAGTCACAAGTGACTTTTTCCAGTGTAGTAACTTCAAATAGTCACTAAATGAATGGCTGTAAGATGAGGACTACCTGTATGTCCTTCAGCGGCTCTAGGCCAGGGGTAGGCCACCTTGGCTCTTTTATGACTCGTGGACTTCAACTCCCAGAATTCCTGAGCCAGCCATGTTGAGGGGAAAAGGGAGAGGTTTCCAAGCTGAGCCATGCTGGCTCAGGAATTCTGGGAGTTGAAGTCCACGAGTCATAAAAGAGCCAAGGTTGCCTACCCCTGGCTCTAGGCCTTCCATTTTTTTTTTTGTCTCCAGAACCTGAGAAAGGATCATAAAGCTTTAAGAAGACATTTTCCTAAAGCTTTTCTTGACAGTCGCTTACATCAATGTTAGCCTAGTTTGCTTTATGTTCAAGGAAAAAGGCATTCAAATATGGAAATGCAATTCCAGACCTGATTAGCCATTAAAAATATGGGCTGTTCCATAGACCCTTAGCAATCAGGTTCGCTAACCCATCTCAAAACAAAACAAGGAACAAAATGGGGGGTAGTGGTGGGGGATGGGGAGCAGGGAGAGGAAAAACCAAAGATCATCTACCACAGGGGTCCCCAACCCCCGGTCCGTGGACTGGCACCGGTCCGCATCATATTAGAAACCGGTCCGCACAAACAAGTGAAGTCCCATCCGCGGGATGCAGGCAGCACATGAAACCACACCTCATCCAGTCCACGGAAAAACCTCTCTCCACAGAACCGGTCCCTGGTGCCCAAAAGGTTGGGGGCCACTGATCTACCAGACATCAGAAAGCCAACAACAAGAGTCCCACAAAACATCATGAGCTGATACAGTTTCCAAAGCAGATCATAAATTCTCTGGCCAAGACTTAAAATTAAAAGTAAACCCATTTCTCCTTTCTCTACTGTTCTCCCTTGCTTTCAACCTCTAATTTCTCTCCTCCCTACCAAAAAACAAAACACTTAAGCAGCACACATCGGCAGTTTCTGTGGAAAAACGCCAGCCATTTTGGAGTTTGTTGTTTGGCCCCAAAAGGGATTTACCGGGATTGAAAATACGTAATTTTTTAAGTATGTTTTCTCAAAGAAATTTGGGTTCCTTTCACGCAAATAGTGGGTGTGGACTTGACAGACTTCATAAAAA